TACACTTCCCTCACTTCAAACCTCCCAGTTCTTTTATCTCTATCCTCAACTCATCAACAGTCACTATACATCAAAACCTCAATAGCCTGTTTTAACCTCCTGAGTATCGGCCTCCTATTTCCTATTAGATGATAGCTTCCCACCTCAATTCCAGTCCATTTAAGACAAATTTTCATCCATGTTCCCAACCAGCCCTTCCTGCTTTCTGAACTCTCCAACTACCCCAGGCTCAAAGCCTTGATGGAATCTTAGAATTCCACCATGCCCTGCCTTCAGGGCTAACCCTTCAGAGGCCTTCATTTCAAATGGGAAGGTTACTCTTTCCTCAGCATAGCTGAATTTTCTTACAGCCCATGATTAATTAGTCCGTCCCTCTCTACTTGAAAATGTTCAACAATTCCCTCCCTACGTTCCACAAAACATCTGCGCCTGGAACATAATTTGGCTCCAACTCACCTCTCAGACCTCATCTTGTTTCCTTACACACACTGTATGTTCCAGGAAATGTCCAGCAATCTTGTATTTCTAAGGCAGCCTAGTCCTCCTCCTTTGATATGCTTGTCATGCTGCTCCTCCACCCATTCCCCTGGACCTAGCAAAAATGTCACCTCCTTGCTTCTGACTTTTCTGATCCCCAGTGGAGGAAGAGTCCACCTCTCTGTCCTTCCAGGAGATCTGGCTCATAATAACAAAAGGAAGCAGTGTAGCTATTTCATCACAAGTGAGACCTGGCAATCCTGTGGGGACTCTTAGGGACTCTATTTTTGTCTTTAGCACATTTCTTTCTTTTTTTTTTTTTTTTTAATTTTTATTAGTTATCGATGGACCTGTATTTATTTATTTGTTTAAATGTGGTGCTGGGACAACAGAACATTCTGCAGCAGAACAAGGCCCTGGAAATCGACTAGTATACATGCTTTGCTGTGTATCTACAGTGTGTTTATTTCATTCTTTTTTTTTTTTTTTTGGTACCAGGAATTGAACCCAGGAATGCTTACGCACTGAGCCACATCGCCAGCCCATTTTATTTTCGGAGACAGGATCTCCTTAAGTTGCTTAGAGCCTCGCTAAGTTGCTGAAGTTGGCTTTGAACTGCTAGGATTACAGACATACGCCACTGTGCCTGGCTATAGCTTTTCTAGATAGATAGATAGATAGATAGATAGATAGATAGATAGATAATAGATAAATCCAACGTTTAAAAATCCAGAGCTTTCGTATAAAAATCCAGAGTTGGGCATTTTTTGAAAAAGAGATATTAAGCTGGGTATGGTAACACAAGTTTATAATCCCAGATACCTGAAAGGAGGAAGCAGGAAGACTGCAAGCTTAGGCAATTTAGTGAGACCCTGTTTCAAATTTTAAAAGGCCTGTTGACGTAACTCAGCAGTAGAGTGCCCCAATACAGGATGGGTGTTAATACTTTCCAAGATGTCTCCATAGACTACCTCATCTAAGTAGACTACCCCAGTTGTTCTCATATTACAGTCCCATTTTATTTTCATAGTATCTTGCTAAAATGGCTCATTTATTTTATTTAATGTGTGTTTTCATTAAGAATTTAAGTCACTGAGAGAGATCTCATCTATCTTGTTCAAAGATATCCTCAGTACTGTGTACATGATGGGAGTACTTAGAAACCACTTAAGAAATACTGAATGAGTGAATGGATGTAGCCACTTTGGGCTCATAGCCCAAAAGGACATCAATGAATTAGAGCAGGCGGGAGGATTTCTACCAGTCTGCCCACCCCTCCTGGAGGCAAGCAGGAGCCCTCCAGGTTGCAAAGACCCCTTATCCCCATCATACACACAGAAAAGAAGTAATGTACTTCAATAATCTCTCCCCTTCCTTATCTGACTGGCTCCTAAAGCACCTGGGCTGGCCAACCCTGACCTAATCAAACCCCAAAGATTAGGGATGGGATATAGCTCAGCAGTAAAATGCTTGCTTCACATGCATGAAGCCCTGGGTTCGATCTCCAGTTCCAAAAAGAAAAGGAGAAAAAAACAAAACAAAAACCCCAACCAACTCCAAAGACTATGTTCTAGTACAATTTAGTATTCTGCCCAGGCCAAGGTCATTCATTCAGGTATTCTACAAATATTTGGTGGACACGCTCGCTATTCTGGTACAAAGAATTCAAGGTAAATGACAGGAAGGTCCTTGCCCTCACTGCACTAACATTCTGGAGAAGGAACATATGGGTGAATATCAAGGGATACTTCTAACTGCAGAACTCTGGCCATCAGCCTGCCCAACCCTTCTTGTCCTCCAAGGCCCGGGTCAAAGACTACCTCCTTGGTGTTGTACTCTGGTAAACCAGCTTTGAAGGTTTGGATGTAGAATGTCCCCCATGTGTTCATGTGTTGAAGACTAGGTCCCTGGTGCAGCAATGAGGTTTTAACTTTATCAATGAATTAATTCAAACTTGCATAGCTGAATGGGCTATTGGGAGATAGTAGAAACTGTAGGAGGTAGGATCTAGTTGAAGGGAGTGGGTCCTTTGGCGACTCTTAGGGACTCTATTTTTGTCTTTAGCACCTTTAGTTTTTTTTTTTTTTTAATTTTTATTAGTTATTGATGGACCTGCATTTATTTATTTATTTGTTTATATGTAGTGCAGAGAATCGAACTCAGGGCCTCACACATGCTAGGCAAGAACTCTACCACTGAGCCACAACTCCAACCCAATACCTTTATTTTATTATTGATGAACCTGTATTTATTTATTTATTTGTTTGTTTATATGTGGTGCTGAGGATCGAACCCAGCACCTCCCACGGGCTAGGCCAGCGCTCTAGCGCTGAGCTACAACCCCAGACCTCCAACACCTTTCTAACAGCTTTCACACCCTCCCTGCCATGATGTTCTGCCTTACCACAGGCCCAGAATCCAATGGAGTTAAGTGACTATAGACTGAAACCATGAGCCAAAATCTTTACTTCTCTAAATTGATTCTTTCAGTTATTTTGTCATAGCAACAGAAAGCTGACAAACACAACAGCCTTTACCAAGTTCCCTCACCAATGATTTTCACTTACTGTCCTGTGCAGTATTTATAAGCTGTTCTACATTCAGCACTATGGTTTGTTTCTCATCGCAAAGTCCTTTCAACCATAAAATTCAATCTTTCCTGTCTTTCATTGTTCCCTACAGCACAGACACCCCAGCCAGCACTTAAATACCTGCTGACCAAATGAAGAAGGGGAATATTTGCCAAACTTGGTATGGGAGCCTGTGAAGTCACTGAACATCTGTAGTAGTTTCTAGAGTACTTATTTTATTCAGTCATCTACGGGGATAAAGTTAATATTAACCACTACGTAATTTAATAAATTACAAATTCAAACAAATAAAGATCAATTAAAGAATAGAAGTACAAAATGAATTTCTGTTTGTGCCCTTGCTAGAAGGCAGCTTTGGGCATACTTCTGTGTAACACTCGGTGAGTCAATGAACAGAAGAAGACTAATAATGGTCAACTGCATCTGACAGTTGTTAAGAGGATTGAGAATATTAGTGTGTATAAGTGCTTAACACAACACCTGGCACATGAGTGCTCAAAACATGTTAGCTACCCTTATGATATTCCCAAAACTCTTCCATCCCTGATCTCCCATTAAGGAGCACTTAGTGGAAGGGTCTGTGGTTCAAAGTGGGGCTTTCATTAAAGGTCTTGCTATAATGCCTGGGTGACCAAAACAAAGTAAGGACAAACCAAGAGAGAAAATGTTACAAAAGCAAAATGGGAAAATGGAAATCATATTTTTCAAATAGCTGCTACTATTTATCTCTTCCTCCAGAAGAGAATATTTTGCAGTTTCTTCATCTGCAAAATGGGACTGCAGCCATAATACCTGCCTACCACAAGGCTGTAGTGAAATCCTACATGTAAAAGCATTTAGTAAACTGAAAAGCAACAATGTTCCTGAGTTATTGCTTAAAGAGCAAGGGTTCTGGACTAAGGTGAGTGATCTCAGACAACATCTCCTGTAAAAGAGGCAATAAATCTTCTTCACAGGATTGCTGTGAGCATTAAGTAACATAATGCAAAATATTTGGGGCCTAGAACATGGGAAGAGCTCCATTCTTGAAAGTCATTAAGATTAGTAGCCTATTCTTTGAATTCCAAATCCCCAAAGGTAGAATGGCAAGAAACCAACAGCTCAGGAACTGGGAGAACTGGATTCTGTAACTAGCAGGGTGACCTTGGGCAAGTCGTGGACCCTCTCCAAACATCGGTTCCCATGGTCGAAAAATGAGAACATTGCAAGAGCGGCTTCCTGGGCTCCTACCAGCTCTTCCACTCCTCTGTTAAAGACGACAGAACCACGGCCACCCTCTCCCAGTTTGTACCCGAGAGGTCACAACTCAGAATTCCTGCTGCTTAACTCCCTTTGCAGCGCAACAGCACGAGCGCCCGGGTCTCCCTCCCTGGAGAGAGGCGTCCACGCTCCGCCGCCACTGCTCGCTTCATCAGCAACTTGCTTCTGCAGCTGATGCCCAAAGTTTCCCGGAGTGTCCGACGACCCAGCCGTCTGTCAATTCCCAGAAAACCAGGAGTTTAGAACGCCAACTTTAGGGGCGCAGTCCGAGGAATCCGTAGCCCCTCCTGTGGTCGGGCTGGGAGTGACAGGTGCGACGCGGAGCCGCGGAAAGCCAGACGACCCACAGCGCGTGTGGGCGCGAGAGGAAGGCGGTGGCCCCACGCTCTCCTCAGATGTCGCTCCCCGAGATGCCCCCGTCCCCACGCTCCTCGATCCGCTTTGGGCCCAGCTCTCGGGATTCCACCGCCTCCCGGAGCCGAGCGCCCCGACCCCGGGGCTCACACCCGTCGTGCCGGAAGGGTTGGGGACCGCTGGGGCCACCGGGCACGCAGGGTTCTTCCCGCGCGAGCCGGGGCTGTGGGGTGGGCGCACGCGCACCCGCGCGCCGCCGTAACCCCTTCCTCCCCGCGCGATCCCCCTACTCCCCCCACCCACCCACTCACTACTCACCGTCGATGTCCCCCAGGGTCAGCTCGTCGCCCAGCTCCGTGAGGGTCTCCATGGTCTCCAGGCCGCCCAGCTCGCCACTCTCGTCCATCGCCCGGCTCGGCGCAGAGGCCCCCCTGCCGTCCCGCTCAGGGAGACGCGGGGGCGGTGCTGCCGCCACCGCCCATGACACCCGACAGCCCCCGCCCGGTACCGCCTCACCGGCCCGTGCCAGCCGCCGCCATGTTTGTGCTGCGCCCCGGCACCGCGCGGAAGGGGCGGGGCGGGAACCTCCCGCCCCTGCCCGCGCCCTCGTGGCTCCGCCCCCGGGCCGCGCGCCCCCTTGTTTGTTGTCAATGGGGCCAGGCTCCTCTTAGCCAACGGGCGCGCGAAGCGGCGCGTGGGGTGATGGCGCGTCATCGATCAGCAGCTCAGATTAGCATAGGTAGGCTCCGCCCCTCGCGGCCTTAGAGCCAATAAAGAGAGTAGCCCCCGGGTCCTCCGCCCAACCTCCTTCCCCTTGCTTAAAGGAGCCTCTCCCTTTCCTCCGGGATCTGTTCTTCTAGCAGGTGCGTCTACCCGCCTGGGATTAAAGGGTTAACGTTCACAGGTCCAGTCGCGACCGCCGGCCGCCACAAGCGCAGACTGTGAGCACATTACGTCATCTTCCCAGCTGCCTCTCCTCTACCCACGCCCTGCCCTGTCCTGCCCTGCCCAGTCCGCCTGGGAGAGCCTGCGGAATGAAACTTAGCCCCCAACGCTGGGGGACAGAGTCAAGATCTTCCAAGTCATGTTTTTCCCACCCCTCTTTAAAAGGCAGAAATGCTGGCTTGGCAGGGCCGCAGACTGTCCAAGAGCAGTTAACACTACAACTTGGCGCCTCAGCGCCTGCTGTGACCTCGCGCTGGTGCTACTGGTCCTTAATCCCAGGTACCTTAACACTGAAGGCCTTTAAACAATGTCAGTACCCAGTGCCCCACCAGCCTCCACGGATTCCCACTCCTGCAGGCACCTCGCTGTCCCATCTTGCAGCTGGTCACGTGTACACAAAGGTGCAAACTTCCAAGAACTCATCCTAAGGAATAAAAGTGCCCAAAGGATGCTGAAATAAATGTGTATGTTCCGAGAGGTTCACCACAAGCTTCTCTATAACTGGAAAATATTATGAAACCCAGTAAGACATTGGATAAATCACAGTACCATGGTGTTATAAAGATCAATGTGTATTTATTGAAAAGAAAAGGCTTTCATAATCTACTGAAGGGAAAGTAAGAGGCAGCTGCTGCTTAGGGGTCAGGACTTAAGAGCACCAGGCTGTGAAGTCAGATGCGTGGATCTGCTAATTCACTGCCTGAACTTTAACTGGTTAAATAATTGTCTAAGCCTCAGTTTTGTCATCTCTAAAATGGGGCTAAAATAGTACTTATAATTGTGAAAATAATTTGCACATTCTTTTGACAACATTTATTGATTATCTCTGGCAGGCAAATAGTTCCTGCTAAGAGCTTCCAGTCTAGTGAAGAGAGAAAAAGAAAAGGCAGTAAACAATAATAGATGATGGTAGTACAAGTGATGGGACATAACTTGCCATGTCAAGAAGACTGGCTGGTGGTGTGGCTGAGTGGTAGAGCATTTGCCTAGCCTGCATGAGGCCCTGAGTTCCATCCTTAACACTGGAAAGAAAAATACACACCAAATTCTTAAGTGGTATTTAAGACAAAACTTAAAATTGAGAGGCCAGCTCTGCCTCTGGTATACCCAGGGGGAACAGATGACATGGACAAACACTTGAGGCTGGAGGAGCTGCTGCCAGTCAGCACATGTGGTAAGTCCTGGCATATAGCAAGCTCTCATACAAGGTAGCAATTGTAATTGAAAAAATAAGGCCAACAGCTGGCTGAGTGGGGTGATCTGGGGTGAGTCTTACTTTCTTCCTGGTATTTTTTGTATTGTCTAAATTACTTTTTATGATGAACATGCATAATTATTGAGAAATAAGTAGTGTCTTATTTGGGGGGTAAGTAAAACAAGAATGCTCTCTTTTATTGTTTACACACAGAAATAGAAAGCTGACCCAAACCCAGCTGCCCTGCTCTGGATCTGGCATTGAGCTGGATGGTGCCATCTTCAGTAGTACTTCTCAGTGGTGCTGCTGGGGCTCCTCACAGGGATGGTTTTTGGTTTCTGCAGTTCTGGGGATTGAGCCCAGCAGTGCTCTACCACTGAGATATATCCCCAGATCTTTTTATTTTTAATTTTGAGACAGGGTCTCATTAAATTGCCCAGGCTGACCTCCAGCTTGTGATCATCCTGCCTCAGCCTCTGGGATTACAGGCATGTGCCACTGTAGCTGGCAAACTGATGGTTGCTGTCTGCTAAACTGACATGGTAAAGACCCTCATAAAATATGCTTTGTTCTAGTGTCCTCTGCCCCAGCACCTCAGTAATTCCCCAAGAGCTGCCTTAAGCAACAGGTCAGGAAGGTGGGCAAAGCACTGTCACTCTGTAGCTCTCCCAGTGGGACCTGCCCAGAGGATCTGGTGCTTGACCAAGTCTGAGGAAACCCAAATAAACGCTCCAGTACAAGTGGTCAAAGACGACTGGCTGTACTAGATCCATATCCCAGCAAAATCCTGCCGTGCTCCCCTGACCCTGCTCTGGCTGGGAGGTCAGAGGCTGGCTCTGAGGGGTGAAGCAGCTTTTGACAAGTTACTCTTCAGGAACTGTGTTCTTCATCTGGAAACAGAGGGGCTGGACTAGGTGACCACTATGTTGAGATATTTATCCTGGATAGGCACCTGCCACAGGTCACGGTAGGGAACCAGGCATATTCTTTGCCATTTACTCTCTCTTGATGCCTGCCCTTTCAGGCGTTTGCTCCTAGTACCTGTTCTCCGCTCCATCTTCCTCCAGTCTCTCAGAATTAGTTCAAATATCACTTCTTCCATGAGGCCTTCCAGCAGGATCAACCAAGAATTTGACATAGAGGTGGGTTTAGAAGGTGGGAAACAAGTTTGGTTTAGGACAAACTGAAACATAAGCAATGAGGATTATCAGATGGTGACAGAGAAGGTGCCATCAACTTTGAGGTCTTAGAGGATGTGTCTGCCCAAGAAGCAGAGAGCGCTAAACCAAAAAATCCTTCATTTAAAGGATCAAGTGAAGAAAGAGGAGCCAGGAAGAGAGAGTGCAGGCTCAGACCAAGGGCAAAGCACAGGACAAGCAGCCCAGGAGGATCGCCTCAAGAAATGGCAGCCATCCACAGTCTCCCTCTGAGGGCAATGACTGGGGAGGGCCGAGGATGATGGGGGCAGGGAGAGGGGCTGTAGACCAGGGAGGTTCTGCTCCCCATGGGGAGATCTGGTGATGCCTGGAGACATTTTCAGTTTCCTAACTGAGGGACTGCCGCTGGTACGTGGTAGGCAGAGGCCAGGGATGGATGCTGCTAAATAACCCTCACACTCAGGACAGCGCTCCCCCACCACACACAACCAAGAATCACCTGGTGCCAAATTTTAATAGTGCCACTGCTGAGAAACCCTGCCTTGAAAGATGTTAGGGGGCTCTCAGCCTCTCCGGGGGTGCCACAAACAGGGCATGGAAGCTCAGCAGACTACACCATATCACTGTTGCCACCATTGGGCATTCCTGGCACTGGTCACTGGACTGGCTAGCAACAGTTCCCCCTCCACTACACCCCCCCCCCCACACACACACTGATGTCCCTGGTACTTGCAGCCACCGGTAGGAATCCTACACCAGCTGGGTGCATCCAGTTGGTGCAAGTCCAGGTAAGTGAATCCCAGCTCCTGGGAAAGGCTGGATAAAAAAGTGCCCTGGGACTTTACATCTGGGGGGACTCTCTCTGCCTGCATAAGTCTCAGAAAGTTGAGTTCCCAGAACAAGTGGCCACAACAGTCAACAATGGCACAAAAAGCTGAGAGAAGGGGCAAATAGGAGCGGAGATATATATATATATATATATATATATATATATATATATATATATATATTTTTATATATATATAAAATATTTTTTTTTCTTTTTTGGAAGGCAGATGGGACACCTTGGGCCCATTTGAGGTAAAAGATGGGATTCCCCAAGAGGAGAAGAGGTGAAGAAGGAAGAGTCCAGAGTCAGAGAGGAAGGAGGTGCCAGATGGGGCAGATGTGAAGAGAGATAAAATTAGGCCCCTTCCTTATGCCCTCCATGGAGTAAGTGCTCAGCAAATCAATGTGATAAAGAACCATCAGAGAAGGGCACATGTCACTAAGAAGTCAGTTAAATTTCCAACCACCTTCTGCTTTTTCTACAGCTTATCCTCCCAAACCCTGGAGCATTCTGAGATAGGGGACCCAAGGACCTGAGAGAAGGGCCTGGTTCTGATGACAATGGTTGGCAAGGGACAGAGCCCAAGGCTAGTTCCAAGGTGCTCAGGCCTTCCCAGCATACTGGGCTGCCTCATCACTCTGCAGTTGCTAAGTTCTGCTTCAAATTATAAAAAGTCCTGCTGATGACAGAGACCCTAGAAGTCACTTGGTAGGACCCCCAGCCAAAGCTGGAACTACCTTTGCACTGTCCTGAGGTAGGACCACCCCTATGGACCTGAAAAGGCTAGGTCCATAGCCAGGCAGGCCTGATTCCCAGAAAAGTCTTCCTCCAGTTAAGGGAGGAAACACCTTCCATGCAAATCAGCAACCACCGCCTCTCAGCAAGAGGACAGGAAGAACCTGGGGCTGCACCAGGACACGGTGAACAGCTGATCATGGGGTCCCACACTTTCTCTAGTCCTCTAGTTCACAAACTCCAGCAATCACCATCTGCCGTAATCCTCAAAGATAGCTGGAGCAGGGGGGCAGAGCTGGGGATGGAGCACCCAGGTTCTGATGTCAAGCCAGTGATGGGGAGCAGGTAATTGGTAGGAAAGTTCAGATGGAAAGACTTCTCCATCATACCTCCAGCTCCTGCTACTTCTTATCCTCTTCTTTTCTGATTGATTACAGGATACTCTGGGCCCACCCTTGGGACCTACTTAAGGTTTAGCTTTCCTTTACTGCCCTGTCCAGGAAGGAGTCCTGCCTCAAGGAAGCAGGTCAGGGCAGGACAGAGGGTTCTGATATCAACATACTCATTTTGCCATTGAAGCACAGGGAAGGGAAAGAGTAGTCCAGGATCAGTAAGTCTGATGGCTGATTCAAGTTTTGCTTGGATGCTATCAGCGATAAGGCCAGATGTGGGGGGCTTTGATGATGGTTGTGTGTCTCTGCCCCAGTAAAAGGCAGACCCCAGCTCATCCAGGTCAAAGAGGAAGAGGTAGAATTCCCCTCCCTCTTGTGCTTGGGAGGGGCAGGAGTGGAGTAAAGGGCAGCCATCTCCACTGGGGGCCAGAGAAAGCAGGAGGGCCATTCAGGGCCTAACTCCCTCTGCAGCTCCTCTGCCCTGTGGCCAAGGGAACTTCCTTGCACACCTCCTGAGACGGAGAGTTTGCACTCTGACCAAACTGGATCACTGCAAAGCAGCCTCCTGCTGGTGCCCTACAGCCCCCACCCACAGGCTGTAGGTCCTCCAGCATAGCCAGAGACAGCACATGGACTATTCCCAGCATCTGCTCAATGACTGTCCCTAGGTTATCTGAATACAGAGATCATATTGCTCCCAGGTCTCCTTGGATCAAATACTCTCTCTCTTCCAGTTCCCCTTCTGACAATGAACTCTCATCAAGGGCAGTGCTGAGGATGGCACAGGAAGCCTGAGCCAAGCCTCTGCTTCTTTGCTCCATCAGGCCTGAGACTCTTCTTGATGAGGTGGGAACATCCTCTAAGCTGGCCTTGACATCCCTGAGGGCCCCTGATTCCTCACAGTCCCCTCACCAGCCTCAGTGGGTCCAGTGAATTTTCTGGCTTTTATTGTGTCTCTGGAGAGGAGCTGGGACCTGGGCTGGGACACAATGGGACAAGAAACAGGCATCACACCTTTTCCAGTGACTCAGAGCCTGGTTTTGATGCTTCCCTGCAGACTGCAGCAGCCAGCCAGCCAGGACCTTCACCTACCAAGAGTCCAGCCAGGAGGCCCTCCTGCCTCCCTGGCAGTCTCCACAGTGTTCTCTAAAGGCCTCCTGGACACCCTCTCTAGAGGTCCTGGGAGAAAATTCAGCCCCCTGATGTACAGTCCCTTCAGCTCCTGAGGACCCAGTAAACGTGGTGTCGCCATCTGGAAGGGGCCGGTGCTCACCACCATGGTGGAGGCCGCCATGCCACAGCCACGTAGCTGCCTCCCCGTCCTCTTGAGAGGCCTCCTGCTGGCCCCTTGATCCCTGCGCTGCTCCAGGGTTACAACTCAGACTGGGATCGGGAGATCCTTGGGCCTTTTCGGATCTCTTTCCGCTTCTCTTCTTTCTTCCTTCGTTTCTCTTCTTCCCTCAGGGCCTTCTGGAAAGGGTCAGTGCTGGGAATAAACTGAGAAGAGCAGAGTGGTCTGATTTAGTCAGCCAGCAGCAAAGAGCCCTCTAGGCCACAGGTTATGGAGACAGAAAGTTTGCCTGGACACAGTCCTGACCTCGTTAAAATGGGCTTGGGCAACTGCTGATCAGTTCTTGAAAAATAAGTAGGAGATTGCCAAGCAAACAGGGAAGATAAGGGCATTCCTGGCAGGGGGGCAGATGCTGAGGTATGAACTGAGAATAAACAGGCTCCTCCAGGGAGAGGGACAGAGTGGCCTGGAGTCCCCCATCACACCCTCCAGAAGGAGGGGAGGAGGCAGCAAATCCTAGACAAGGGGCACTGCTGCCTGTGGGCAAGGAGCAGCCCCTGTAGGGGGTACAAGGGAGCAGAGGGGAGGAAGGCTAAACTGGCAAGAGGGAGAAGAGAGGGAGCACAGGGCCAGCAGGGTTGGGGCATCTTCAACTACAATCCCAAGCAGGCCATTGGCTCCTCCCTGCACGCTCCAGAAGTCTCCCCAGCCCACAGCTTCTGCTAGTCTATTTGGTCAATTACCCCTCAAACCATGTCTAATTGCTGCCCAATACCCCCAGAGTGCACGTTTCCCAGCTTGACAAGGCTGCATTTTCCCAAAGCCCCATCCTCTTCAAGCATCCCTGTCCTGAAGGACAGTGGTGCCCATGCCTCCTGCAGGGAGCAGAGCAGAATGAGGAACCCCAGCTTCCCTCAACTCACTCCCCCACTGAGTCTGTCCCAAGGCCTGGCTCATTTTAACCCCAAAGTCTTTCTCAAATACATTTACTTCCCTACAACTGCCTCCCACATCACCACCCCTCTCGGAATCTGCCCACTTCCACTTTGGTCCCTCTCAAGCTATGCTTACTACAGCTAGATTTTTCCAAAATGCGGATCTTACCTCATCACTCTCCTGCTTACCACCCCTGCATGACTCTGCATGACTCTCAGGACAAAGATCCCGGGAACCACTCACCCACCTCTCCGTCCTACAGTGCACCCATCTTGCCATTCCAAGGCCTTGGCACACGCTGTGGCTGAGGTCCAGGACGCTCTTCCTGGCCCCCATCTGATTTACCATATTGGCTCCAGCTTGGCCATCGCGGCCCTTAGGACCTCCTCTGGGATGCCTCCTCGGGCACACTCTATCACTCTGTACTGATTCCTTCCTTATTTTCCCCTGATTTCTTTTTAGCACTTCTACCTATGAGCACTCGTGTGGTGCTGTCACTTGCCAGGCAGCGTATTTCACCAGGTCATGAGGATGGTCTCAGGAGCTGCTCATCACTATGCCCTGAGCCCCCCAGCACAGTGTCTGCCTGCTTCTCAGTAGCACTCCATGTGTCTTCCAAGTGAATGAATGAGTCAGTTAGAATGACATACAAAACTATCCCAAACTCAGGCTATAAAATATGCCCCTTTTATATGTTCTTAGGGCAAATTTGACAAATGTTTGTTCAAGGCAGACATTGAAAACAAACTAAGAGCTCCATCTTGTGGAGCAATCTATCTACCAACTTAGATTGAGCAGTGCCTTTGGAAGATGGGGAAATCATAAGTGTGGCCCAGAGAGGGTAAGTGATATGCTGAAGTCACACAGCAAGTGGGAGGCCTAACTAGGATTAATCTACCAGGTCTCCCATGCACTTTCTGTGTGACCTGAACTTATCACTTGTGCACCACTGATAGGCCAGGTACTGTGATGGACGCTGTAATCCCAGTGACTTGAGAGGCTGAGGTGGAAGGATCACAAATTCAAGATCAGCCTCAGCAACTTTGTGACACCCTGCCTCAAAATAAAAAATAAAGCGGGTCTGGGGCTGTGGCTCAGCGGTAGTGCGCTAACCTCACATGTGCAGGACCCTGGGTTCGATCCTCAGCACCACATAAAAATGGATGAATGAAATGAGGGTATTGTGTCCAACTACAACTAAAAAATAAATATTAAAAAATAAAAATAAAAGGAGATGTGGCTAGGTGGTAAAGTACCCCTGGGTAAAGAAACAAACCCACCCCTGATGGCCTCCAGTTGTCAGTCCTAAATCCAGTATTGATTCCACCATCCTCCTCTCCCTTGATCTGCAGCAGCAGCTGGCAAGCCACTCTCTTCACAGTGACTGCTCCTTCTGGGGTTCTGTGGGTCCTCTGCATTCCCCAGCCTCTCATGGCAGCTCCGTCCCGTCCCGGGAGGCTTCTCCTTCTGGCCCCCAGGTGAGCACTCCTGTCCCAGGGTTTTCAGTGCCTCCTACATAGGCATGCTCTCATTTGTAGCTCCAGCTTTGTCTCCTCCCCGAGTCTACAGCCCCATATCCAATCGCCTCCTCTGTGTATTTTCAGATGTTCCCCAGGTGCAGAAACACAGTTCCCTCCCCAGTCACTGGAGAAAACCCAGCCCCCTTCTTCCAGATGCTCAGCTCGTGGCCTTCCAGCTTCCAGTCTCTCTTAGCGCTTCTTCCACGCTCTCGCCCTCTGTTTCCTCTGCAAATCCTATGGGCTCTATTTCCAGGAGAGACCCTGAGCCTGACCATTGCTCACTGGCTCCACTGTTGCTCCCTGGTTCTAGCCACCTCAGCTGTCTTCAGCTCCCTAAGGGACGAACACAGAAGCCTCCTCCCTCCATGGTCCTAAGACCATTCTCTACCCACTCTCTACCCAGAAGCCATGTTGACACTTTTTTTTTTTTAAGTTATAGGTGAACACAATATCTTTATTTTATTTTTATGTGTGCTGAGGATTGAAACCAGTGCCTCAGGCATGCTAAGCTAGTGCTCTACCCCAGCCCCATGTTGACACTTTTTTTTTAATAACATTTTTATTTTATTTTATTGAGATGTAGATGGACACAACACAATGCCTTTATTTTTATGTGGTGCTGAGGATCAAACCCGGGTCCTGCCTGTGCTAGGCGAACGCTCTACTGCTGAGCCACAATCCCAGCCCCCATGTTGACACTTTTAAAGTGGCACATCAGTGCCCATCAGCCTGGCCTCCATATCTCTCAGGACAAATGCCAAAGCCCCTGGTGAGACCTCTGAAGGTCTTGAGATCTGTCCTACAACACTGTCCACCTCCCACCCCCAAAGATGCTCCCAGCACAGCCTGTGCACTTAGTGCCCCTTCAGCCTGCAAAGGTCTCTGCCAGAGGCTCCTACACTGCCTTCAGATCCTGCAACAGGACCGTGTTCACTCCATGGGAAACAGCAACCGTTTCCCCACCTGATGCTGCTCCACAGCCTTTGTCACCACTTACCATATATATATATATAGTTTCTTGGCCATCCATCTCCTCCAACAAAAATGCCACTTCTGAGAGAGCAGGGTTCATCTGTCTCCCCACTGGCTTAGAGTCAACAAATGTCCAATAAATGAAATGAACATGCTATGCATCTAGGCCTCTGTACAAGCACATGCTTCCACCAGGAAGGGCCCCTGCCACTGGTCCACATAGCAACTCCTACTTCCCCCACAGCCTGTACCACCTCCTGCCACTACTGGGGCAGACTCCCCCCTCATTACGCTCCCCTCCACCACTGATACAGGGATCATGCTGGACTGGGACTGTTATTTCCTTGCTGCCTTCTCCAGCATACTGTGAGCATCAGAAGAGCAGGGACAGCTCCAGCTCCCGGGATAGAGACAGTGACCAACCTGGTTCTAGTGATGATACATAAGATGAAAAAGAAAACTCTCAGAACACGCCCCACCAAGCCAGGCATGGTGGCGCACACCTGTAATCTCAGCAATTCTGGAGGCTGAGGCAGGATGATTGTAAGTTTTAGGCCAGCCTCAGCAACTTAGCAAGGCCCTAAGCAACCTGTCTCAAAATAAAAAATAAAATGGGTTAGGGATATGGCTCAGTGGTTAAGCACCCCTGGGTTCAATCCCTGACACACACACACACACACACACACACACACACACAAAAGAACACTTAGCACAAAGGACACGTATGAGGAATAAGAGAAGATAAGCAAACCCGTGACTGCTGCAGATGTACCTGTCCATCAAAAAGGGGGCAGGCTGGGGGTATAGCTCAGTAGTAGAGCTCTTGCCTAGTATGCACGGCCCTGGGTTTGATCCACAGGATAGCAAACAAACAAACAAAAAAGTAAATCTCAGGACTATCCCCAGATAATGAAGAATAGAAATATACACTGCTGCTATGGTTATGTCCAGGAGCTCGTTATGCAGATACAAGTCCAAACCTAACCTGGCATTCATTCTCTCTATGGCCCATGTGCTCACCTTCCTCCATTAGAGAGGGGAATCTATGACTGCTGGGTGAGAAAAGCCCACTTCACAGCAATAAAGCATCTCCATAGGTATAAACCACCATGGCTGTGTACACCAAGAGTATCCGGTCCTCACTGTTCTTGACCAGGGCTGATTATCAGAGTTATGACTGCAGAAAGCAGCTTTGAGGAATATGTCATCTTGGTTTTACCTGAAGGCATGATAGTTACTTCTGCAAGGGAAAAACCATATCCCCTACTCTGCTGCAGAAAGCAAAGCCAATGGCTCAAGAAGGCCTTTGATTCAGAGGTTCCTCTAAATATTCTAGGCCTGGTCCACTGTAGCTCAGCTAAGTTAAAAGCCAAGGTGTAGTACAGAAGCAAATTAACATTTCAGGCCTGACTGCTATTCTTCAAAATGTCTGTTTCCAGTTGGGCATGGTAGCTCATGCCTCTAATACCAGCAACTTGGGAGGTTGAGGCAGGAGGATCACAAGCCAGCCTCAATAACTCAGCAAGACCCTCAGCAACTTAGGGAGACCCTGTCTCAAAATTAAAAAATAAAAGGGACTAGAGATATAGCAAAAATAAAAGGAACTGAGGTACCCCTGGATTCAATCCCAGTTCCAAAAATAATAAATAAATAAATAAATAAATACCCTGTTTCAAGGCAGACCTTTGACTATCATCTGGGAACATAAATTTTATACACACACACATATATATTTTAGTTGTTGATAGAGCTTTATTTTATTAGTTTATTTATATGTGGTACTGAGGATTGAAGCCAGTGCCTCACACATGCTAGGCAAGTGCTCTACCACTGAGCCAGAACCCCAATCACAAATATTTCAAGAAGGTTCCCACCATCCTAACCAATAAGAGTAGTTTACTAGCCAGGTGTGGTGGTGTACACCTGTAATCCCAGCAACTCAGGAGGTTGAGGCAGGAAGATTGCAAGTTCAAAGCCAACCTCAGCAACTTAGCAGGCCCCTAAGTAACTTAGCGAGACCCTGTCTCAAAATAAAATATAAAAAAAGTGCTGGGGATGTGACTCAGTGATTAAGTATCCCTGGGTTCAATCCCTGATACCAAAAACAAAAAGAGTAGTTCACTGTGCCTAAACTGTTTGTGCAAACAGTATGGTTTATGCTGATCACTTGCTTTCCTTCAGGGCTGGAATTTTTGCACAAGTTAGGCAAAGGATAACCATGTAAGTGGTTCCCAATAAAACCTGGGCACTATGTCTCTACGAGCTTTGCTGGTAGACAGCATTTTACATGTGTTGTCACAACTTGTGCTGGGGAAATTGGGCACATCACATGTGACTACTGGTAGAGGACTGTGTAAGCTGGGTTCCTTGAACTCTGCCCCATGTGCCTTTTCCCTTTGCTGATGGTTCTTTCTCTGGAGTAAATCACAGCCATGAGTATGACTATTTGCTGAATGCTGTGTACCCTCTAATGATCTGAATTAAAAGTTGTCACCCTTGCCTGAGACAACACTCCGAGCAACTGGGCATGGTATGTTCTTAGTGACTTTCCTCGGTGTCTGGTCTGCTACTCAGAAGACTCCATAGAGACTGGCAGATCAAAGACCCCCATTCCTCTATGGGGCCACAAACTGTGGAAACACTTGGTGGTTGCTAACTAGCCCATTTGGGTCACTTTTCTGGATGACCATGGTAAAGCCCATTCTCTGATAAAGCTAACTAGAATCAAACTGCTAATCAAATTTACAATGCCATTGTCCCTAAATGCATCACTGTCCTTGACATAGCAGCACAACCACTACCATAAACAAGCACAAAGCAGAAGGTGCTGTAGTTTAGATTTGACTACCTATCTAAATCTTGGGTTGGAATGGTCTGACCCGAGGCCACTGGGATTATAACCACTTGGATTACGTGCTTACTCTCCTGTAGTAGCCAATGTGAGCACAGATGGAAGACATAAAAGGTCTCTATAAATTTGTTAAAATTCCCTTGTCCCACTCATACCTGATCCTTCTGAAAGAAAAGGTCTAGGTGAGAGGAAAGGATGATCAGAGAAAAGTAAAATTATAAGTACTGGATGGGACACATGGATTTCATAGCAATAATACAAGCAACTAGGGAGGGAATGCCTTGGACTCTGTTGAGTACAAGGAACAATTTATGCTGTCTTTGTCCCTTAGATCCAGCACTACCATCTGGCAAAACAATCCTAGGTTCTGCCTGAGCTCAGTGGCAGCTGCCACTTACAGTCTAACCATCTGCTGGGTGTGTCTTTTCCATCCACATGATGAGAAACTCACATGGACAAAGTCAGTACTAAACTATTCTACTGTGCTTGACACCACTGAAGGTAGCCTCTGAAAGTGACCCTGTGCAGACACACAGGACAATACAATCTTGTTTCAACAGTACAGATACAACAGTATCTGCTTCTCCTAATATCTGAGCAGCTTTGGATTATAACATATAGGGCAACTGAGGCTAAAACTGCAGTGACACTGCCCTCAGGCTCAGGTGAATTGGGTACTGGTGACTCAGAGTGCAAGGTGAGAGAATGGGCCACAGAATGTCTCTTTGTAGGGGACAAGAGCTGCTTTGGTCCCATCAATTGCCTTCTGTAATTACTAATAACATTCATGGCCAGGTGTGGTGGCACATGCCTATAATCCCAGTTACATTCAAGGCCAGCCTAGGCTATTTAGTGAGACCCTGTCTCAAAACAAAAACAAAAAATTAATATAGGGATTGGGGATGAAGTTCAGTGGTAAAGCACCCCTGAATTCAATCCCCAGTACAGAAAACAACAACAATAACACCCATGAAAATCGGCAGGTAAGTCTAAACTCTTTTTTTTAAATATTTTTTTAGACGTTGATGGACTTTTATTTTATTCATTTATTTATATGCAGTGCTGAGAATAAAACCCAGTGCCTCACACACGCTGGGCAAGCAGTCTACCACTGAGCCACAGCCCCTAAACTCTCTTAAGTGAATAGTAATGGATAATAGATTGGTCTTAGCTGGGGGCGGTAGCACACACCTGTAATCACAGCAGCTTGGGAGGCTGAAGCAGAAGGATCATGAGTTCAAAGCCAGCCTCAGCAATTTAGTAAGGCCCTAAGCAACTCAGTGATACTTTCTCTTAATAAAATATATAAAGGGCTGGAGATGTGTTTAAATGCACTGAGTTCAATCCCCAGTATTTAAAAAAAAAAAAAAAAAAAGATTGGTCTTAGATTATATCCTGACTGTTCAAAATGAGACCTACTAGTCCCCTCAGGATTTAATCACAGTTGGTTGAGTCAGGGATCCTGGAGAATATGGTTGAGAGAGAGCTGGTTGGCTTCACTTCCTATTTAAAACACATCTGAAGCCAGGATAGTGGCAAATGCCTATAATCCCAGAGACTCAGAAGGCTGAAGCAGGAGGATTTCAAGTTCGAGGCCAACCTCAGCAATTTATCAAAACCCTGTCTCAAAATAAAACTTTAAATATATAATATAAAAAGAGCTATGGATGTAGTTCAGTGATAAAAGTACCCCCTGGGTTCAATCCCTAGTATTAATAAATAAATAAATAAATACAAAAAAGGACAGAAGATGTAGCTCAGTAGTAAAGCATCCTTGGGTTCAATTCCCAGTATAAAAAAACAAAACAAAAATAAAAAACTTACAATCAACCAACCAAACAAAAATTACATCTGATAGATATTTTTTTTGGGGGGGAGGGGTTGCCAGAGATTGAACTCAAAGGCGCTCAACCACTAAGCCATATTCCCAGCCCAATTTCGTATTTTAGAGATAGGGTCTCACTGAGTTGCTTAGTGCCTCGCCATTGCTGATGCTGGCTTTGAACTCACAATCCTCCTATCTCAGCCTCCAGAGCCGCTGGGATTACAGATGTACACCACTGTACCCAACTCTGACAGACATCTTAATAAATGAAGTATGAGACAAATTGAATAGATTTGATCATGGCCTCTTGGTCAGATTAACAGGACATTTATGTAAATATTTGAGTTAAACCAAGAATATAGGGCTTGGGGAGACTACTGGATGAGGCAATTCACCATGTCCCTGAGCACCCCTGCATGTTCTTGCTGGTACACCAAGAATGCAAAATTCTGGCCGCTACCGGGCCACTTTTCCCAACTGCGTTTCAACAGAGCAATCCTGAAGGATAAGGTAATATCTCCCCCAAAACAAAGAGCAAATTTGCTTTCATTCACTATACAAGTGGTCAATTTCCTAAGCTCAGTGGTCCTCAGCTATAATGCAAACCTACTGCATGCACAGCATTTACCTGGCCCCTCATGTCCACCCCATGGGACTTGGGGCACAAGGGGAACCAAGATGTCCAGGCCAAGTCTGGCTACTGCTGCTTTTGCTATAATAAAGTCTAGGTCTCTGATCTGTTAGTGTCCATGCAATAGTAGCTGGCAAGCTTGTTAGCCTGTGAGCAGGGTAAAATCCTAGACCCCTCACAGACCACACTCTTCCCTATACCATGGGCCAACCTGGAATTTGATGAGTCCAGTCTTCTAGCCACCTATGAAGCCCTTCCTTCATGGCCCTCCAGGCCCTGCCCTGCCCTTCTCTGATCTCCTCCTCCAACTATGGTATATATGATATATATGGAATATATTGATATCCCAACTATGGATATATATATGGTATATATATTGTTATCCCAAACTGTAGCTTCCAGTACTCAGAGCTCACCTCACCCCCTGGGGGAAAAATCGTTTGTAGGAGTGCAGGATCAGAAGCTGAGATGGAGGCTCAAGGGCTGGGAAGAACACGGCCTGACTTCACCTGGCTGCCCTGACACTGACCTACCATGGGAGCCTCCTGTGCATTGAGATGGGTGTGTTCCCAGCTTTAGGACAGGACCCAGCCCCCTGAGGGTCCAGCCTCCCACAATGGACAAAGGCAAAGAAGACATGGCCATAGGCCCTCGCAGCTCACCTCTGGGTGGTCTATTTTAAATGGGTTCTGGAAGTCGGAGTCTTTCTCGCTGACCCCCAACTCCTGGGCCATCTGCAGATGAGAAAAAAGCAGTCATCCTCTGACTTCTGCCTCTTCCTCACCAAAGAACAACTCCTGCCATGCAGGGATCCAGGGCCCAGGTCTGGGCAGATGTGGGCCAAGTGACAACCCCTAGGAACCCAAGTCGGCACAGAAATGGGACTTCCATGGCCCAAGGTACCGAGGCTCATCACAGAAAATACAGCCAAGCACTGACACTCAGGTTCTACTGCAGGCTAATACAAGGCTCCTGGCCTACCACCAGACAGAAGACTCCCAGACCTCCTCCACCCCAATCCTTACCAAGCTAAGGATGCGTGAGTGGGTCCCCTGGTCAAAAACACCTGTCTGGTTGCAGAAGCTGATGCCCCAGCGGATGAGGAGGTTCCAGTTGGAGTTGTGGTCAAAGTAGTGGTGCACGATCCTCGGGAAGCGTAGTACCACATCACCGAAGAAGGCCGTGTTCTCTACCACATGGGAGAAGGCTGGCAAGAGGACCTTAGTGAGTGAACAGGGTAGGGCCTCTTATTCCCTCCTGGCTGACCCCAAGGCTTGGCATCCATGAAACCCACCAATCAGAGAAGGTAATGACACCCACTGGCGATAGGCCGTCCATCACATGTGCAATGTGTGTGGTAGGGTCCTTATGTCCCCCAGGTCACTGAATTCCTGTAACCACCATTAGAGGGATATGTGGCTGCTGTTCCCATTTTACAGTTGGGGAACTCAGTTTCAACAAATAATGAGTGGCAAATCTGATCTGCAAAGCCAGGTCTGTCTGTCCAAAGGCACATCTTGATGTTTAGAAGTCTCATTTACTGCGGGGAACTCAAAAGTGGGTACTACTGTGTATACAAAGGCTAATGCATCACATGAGGCTTTCCTGGGCAGAGTCCCCCAACATATCACATGACTAGAGCAGGGCCCTGATATTTACACAACTACAGTGTTTTTGGTGGGTCAGTTCCATTAGGATGGCCAGGGAAGAGGTCAGGGTTGTAGGGTTTCAGGATTTCTTAAATGTTCTTTCTATTTTATTTTATTTTAAATGTTTCTTATTTTGAAATTGTTCTAGTCTTACATAATATAAAATTCTTTATCCATTACCCAAATAGCCAAACCAGGAAATTAATAGCAACACAAAATTAACCACCCTACTTATTTTCACATTAATGTCCTTCCTCTGAACAATAGGTCAGTTTAGACTAAGGTTAGTGAGTCCACCATAGTGGCAAGTCCCCAAACCCAGGTGAGTAGAGGCAGAGAGGACACATTCAGAGCCAGTCAGCCCTCCCCAGCACAGGCCAGGCACCCAGGGGAGGTAAACAGACTCCAAAGATATGCCAGGTTGGGTCTGAGACATATGGGCAGAGATCACTGGGCTTCAGAATCATCTTGAACCTCAGGGATCTCAGGATCCAGCTTGGTATGGGGAAAAAGGCAAATCACTTATCCTTTCCCATCTAGAAAATGGAGGAAATTGTGCTTGCCTCATAGTCGAGATTAGGGTGATGTCTGTATAGTGTCCACCACTCAATATCAAGGGCTGCTTCAATCCTCTCTCAGACAGTATAATCTAAGAAATGTTATTGTTAAAATGTAATCAACCAGGGGCATTTTACTTTTGAGCTACATTTCCAGTCCTTTTTATTTTTTAGTTTGAGACAGGGTCTTACTAAGTTGCTCAGGGCCTCACTAAATTATTGAGACTGGCTTTGAACTTGTGATCCTCCTGCCTCAGTCTCCAGAGCCGCTGGTATTACAGGTATGTGTCATGTGCCTGGCTTTTTTCTCCTTTATATTGGTACAAATCTCACCTTCCTTTCCAGAAGAGTCAGGAAGGTAAGCAACTGATCCTGTCCTAACCCCTGGAGTGGTGGTGGACAGAGGGTCCTCCCTGGTTCCCCTGTACCAAGCATAGGACAGCATGAAAAAATACATCTTTGTCAGCCCAGAACTGCTCAGATTAGGCCTCATCCACACAAGGGGGCCACTGAGAAGGTACTCCAGGGAGAAAAAAAAGAATGACCAGAAAAGAGAGCATCTACAGAAGACCAAAGAAGTGGAGAGGGAAGTAGAGGGCCAGGGAGACCATACCATCCTTCAGCTTCTCATCCTGGGGGAAGGGCCCATCTGGGAGCACGTTGGCAGCAATGAGCACTGTCCGGGAGTCCTCCAGCACCTGAGGGAACCCCACCTGGGCTGAGTGACTTTTTTTTTTTTTTTAATATTTATTTATGTATCTTTAGTTTTAGGTGGATACATTAGTTTGTTTTTACCTGGTGTAGAGGATCGTGGTGCTGAGGATCGAACCCAGTGCCTCATGCATGCTAGGCGAGTACTCTACCACTGAGGCACCACCCCAGCCCCCTGGGCTGTGACTTTGCAGAGCCCTTCACAACCTGGGTCCAGCCCCACTTATTTGAACGCCACTTTGTCTCCTATGTGCATGCAGCTTCTGCCTCACTGAACACCATCCCCTTAGGGAACTGCTACTCATCCATCAGTGTCCAAATCAAAGTCTTGACCTGCCATGAGCTGCCCTAGCCCACACAAACCTTAAAGAGCCCCTTGAGCATAACATCAAGGATCTTGTACTGCTGGTAGACATCATTCAACTGTGCCAAGTTCTTCAGTGCTAATAGCTGCTCCCGCCGTTTCACCTCAAACATCTTCTTGTCTGGACAGCACTAAGTTAAAGGACTAATACCAACAGCCCTGCCTAAACAGCTATCCTGAACCAGAGGGCCCATTCCTGACCAGCAAGTATATGTAAGGGGCATGAATGCCTATGGCTGGGACTCCCCAAGGGAAGGAGCAAACCGTCTGAGAAGCACACATACCCCATGATGTATCCTTGATCCAGTTCTCTGAGGACTCCACATTCAACAGCCTGAATCCAACCCTCCAGGACCTGGATCCTGTCCTCCCTTCCCTGTGGTTTTCTTGCCAACTCTCATAATCATTCATTATTCCTGAACCTCCATTATTCTGCTCATGCTGTAACTTCTGCCTAGGATTCCCCCATCCCCTTCTCTAGAAGTTTCTATTTTTTCAAGACCCAGCTTAGAATCCACAGCACAATGTTTCCCAATCCCTCTTGCATCTACCAGAGCACTGATCACAGCATACAATAACCATCTGTTTAGATACTCCCCCTATGCCTGTGGATGCCTCAAAACCAGGGACTGGTCCTGACTTATCTTTGTGTTCCCAAGGCCTGGCCCAGAGGAGGTGGTTCAGTACACTAGGGTCAAGATGAGCTAGTAATCCAGAGTTCCTGAGTTGTCCACCTAGGGTCTTGCCCACAAGGTACTAGATACAGAAAAAGTCAAAGCCTTTGCAGCTGTGAGATGTACCTGCCTTCTTCATTTAACATAAGGAGAAGTGGGCTCAGAAGAGAATCAACTTGCTCAAGGTCTGGCTAGAGCACCTTACCTTTTCTTCCCTGTTCCCACCAGCTGGGTTTGCTCATCTCAGGAATCCCCCAAGGGACTGCGGGTATAGAGAAGCTTCATATATTGACCACTCAGAGACAGGTCATTAACCCTACCCTGAACTCCAACAAAAGATACAAATCTCCAGGCTTGGGTCCATTGAGGTCCTCAGGGTACCTGTGGCCCCCACACCAGACAGCAGCAGGACAAAGAAGGCGGCCAAGAACTGAAGAAAGTCCATCTCCAAGACCCTGGAGCTAGAGGAGTAACCCAAAGAGAGGGAGTGAGACCCAGAGGTTGGCATTAAATAAAATACAGAGTACAGTGAATAGCAACTTCCCCTGATGTGGCACAGCCTCTAAATACCAAGAATCAGCTTTAGGAAGCCCTGAAGCCCAGGCAGTGAGAGGGGTTATGAAACTTACAACTTTTGTCTGAGAAAGGAAGAAAGAAGAGAAACCAGACACAGTTGCACACAGCTGGAATCCCAGCTCCTCAGGGGTTGGGGGTGGAGGGTGCTTAGGTAGGAGGATTGCAACTTTGAGCATAGTCTGGGCAACCCAGAGAGACCATCTCAAAGTAAAACTAAAAGGGCTGAAGATCTAGCTCAGTGGTAGAGTGCTTGCCTATCATGGGTTCAACCCCTAGTACCACAGAAAAAAAGAAAAAGAAGGGGCACAGGGTGGGAAGGGAAGCAAGCCTGCGTTAAGAGCCTTGTGGGCTCCCGAAGAAGAAAGAGGAGTGTAATGACCAAAAGTCATTATGTGCAACACCTGTTACTATTCAGCACCATCCTGATTGAGTACCTACCAATCTAGGCATGGTTCTAGTGCTGAGAATATAATAAGTAAAACGAAAAAAAAAAAACAAAAAAAACTTGCACTCATAGTACTTATGTCCTAGTTAAGCAACAAAAAATCGACAAACACATAAAATAAGCACAGAAGGATGACAGGAAGTAGGTCAGGTGAGACATTAAATAAGTGGTCAGTGGAGGCCTGGCACTCAGATGACAGTTACCCAGTTTCACCAAATAAGGAAACCAAGGCACTGAAAAGTGAGGTATCTGCTCAAAGTCACACAGCTCTTTCCAGGCTGAACCTGGAGTATATAAGCTACCTCAGATCACAATGGCCAATAATCACCAGGAAACCTGCCCCAGGGGAGATGCTCAGTGACACTAAGAGGCCTTCAGAGGTCATCAGGAAAACCCCTTCCCTCACACAGAAGAGATAACTGAAGCCTAGAGAAAGAAACCAAGTTCATTTGGGCACGTCCACTGTCCACCAGCACCAGACCCAAGGGAACCAGAACCAGGCTACAGCAAAACTTGGGGGAACAAGGAGGGTATCAGAGAAAAAGGAAACCAGAAA